GTAAAAGGTATTGCGTTTTTGATTTGAATTTTGGCTTGACTGTTATTGGCGTATATAAATGCCTCTCATTTGTGTGTATTGATTTTGTATCCTGAGGCTTTATTGAATTCATTTATCAATTCTAGGAGTCTCTTGGATTCATCCTTGGGATTTTCTAGGTATAATATCATATCATCAGCAAAGAGCGAGAGTTTGATCTCGTCTGCCCCCATTTGGATGCCGTTAATACCCCTCTCTTGCCTAATTGCTGTAGCGAGGATTTTGAGCACTATGTTGAATAGAAGTGGAAATAGTGGACAAACTTGTCTGGTTCCGCTTCTAAGTGGAAATGGTTTTAATGTTTCCCCATTCAGTATGCTATTGGCCATGGGTTTGTCATAAATGGACTTGATAATTTTAAGGAATGAGCCATCTATGCCTATTTTGTTGAGAGTTTTTATCATAAAGGTGTTTTGGAGTTTGTCAAATGCTTTTTCTGCATCTATTGAGGGAATCATGTGGTCTTTGCTCTTGCTTTTATTTATGAGGCAAATCATGTTTATAGATTTGCATATGTTTAGCCATCCTTGCTTCCCTGGAATAAAGCCCACCTGGTCATGGTGAATTATTTTTTTGATGTGCTGCTGAATTCTATTTGCTAAAATTTTGTTGAGGATTTTTGCATCAATATTCATAAGGGATATTGGTCTGTATTTTGTTGTTGTTGTTGTTGTTGTTGTTGTTTTGTCCTTTCCTGGCTCTGGTATCAAGGTGATATTGGCTTTGTAGAATGAGTTAGGAAGGATACCACCTTTCTCAATGTTGTGGAATAATTTCTGTAATATAGGTATGAATTCTTCATTGTATGTGTGGTAAAACACTGAAGTGTAGTTATCTTGTCTGGGACTTTTACATTTTTGGAGGTTTTTAATTGCTATTCCAATTTCTGAGCTAGATATTGGTCTATTCAGATATTCTGTTACCTCTTGGGGGAACTTAGGGAGGTTGTATGTTTCCAGGAATTTGTCCATTTCCTCCTCATTATATAGTTTTTGGGCATTTAGGTTTTTATAGTAATCAAAAATAGTGTTTTGTATTTCTGTGGTGTCTGTTGTGACCTCTCCTTTTTCATTTCTAATTGAGTTTATCAAAGTCCTTTCCCTTTAAATTCTTGTTGATCTAGCAAGCGGGCTGTCAGTTTTGTTTATCTTTTCGTAAAACCAGCTTTGGTTTTGTTGATCTTCCGTATAATTCTCTTGTTTGCCATTTCATTTAGTTCTGCTTTGATCTTAGTTATTTCTTGTCTTCTGCTAGGATTGGAATTGATTTGCTCTTCCTTTTCCAGTTCCTTGAGACTATTTGTTAGGTTGTCGATTTCTAAGCTTTCTGTTTTTTTGATGTGAGCATTTATTGATATTAGTTTTCCTCTCAGATATGCTTTTGCTGTATCCCACAGGTTTTGATAACTTGTTTCTCTGTTATCATTAAGCTCAAAGAAACTCTTGATTTCCCTCTGTATTTCCTCCTTGACCCAATAGTTAGTCAACAATAGATTGTTTAATTATTTAATTTCCATGACTTTGTGAGGTGGTGAGGGACGTTCCTTGGCAGAGCTGTGGAGATGTGCTGTGGTCCCGTATTTTCTTAGAGGAGTTTTAGCCTGTTGGGTTATCTCTGGCCTGTTGTCTTTACCTTCTGTTTACAGAGATTAAAGTGTTTCGATCCCTTGCTTAGACTCCCAGGAGTTGGATCACTCTTGTGTGTTTGACTCCACTATTGACCACTAGACTGAGGTGGAAGGCACTGTTTTGGGCTATGAGGTTACTCTCTCTTTTGTTGCTTGTATTTTGCATGGAGGAATTGGTTATCAAGGTATTCCAATGCTTTTCTATTGAGCTCTAAACCCCCAAATGGGACATACAGGTGCCTCAGAATTTGGGGAATGTCATGCCACTCCCAAAGATTACTTGAGCCCTGTTGCCACTTTAGTTGTGGTGAGAAGAGCAACCGGTATTGGTGAGCCAAAAAGAGTACACTTCAGTGGTTGCTTGATCTATTGCTAGGAGAGAGCTGCTAATATGTTATTCATGGCTCTTTTGCCATTCTTGCAGAGCAGCTCCTGATGGGGTGTGTCAATTGGTCTAATTGCTAAGGACTCTGGTTGAGATTTTCCTTCCCAAATCACAAGCCCCTAAGTTGTCAACAGCCTGGGCACCAAGGGCAAGCCCTTGTGGTATGGACCTATCAGATCATCAAAACCAATCAGCTGAAACCAAGTCAGCAAACTGCCCCCTTTTCCTTAGATCCAAGGTCCCTCAGATTCAAGCTAGTCATACGGGGAAAGCGACTTTTCTCCTTTCTCCCTTCCTTCAAGGGCTGAGTCTGTCCTGATGGGCTGGGGGATGGGCATTGGCTGAGACTGCCACAAAACCCAGCCAGGAAAATGTCTTCTCCCATTTCTTCCCTTCTCCAAGGGTGGGGACTGCCCTGCCAGAGGGGAAGATATCCCACCGGACTGGAAGAAGGGCCCTTCCTGGGGCTAACAGGTGTCTCAGCCCAAGAAGTGGCTCTGTCCTCGTTACTCTGCCCTTCCAAGGGTGGGGTTTATCTAGTTGGTAGGAAGTACATACCTCAGGGCTGCTGGAGAAGCCCTGCCCAAAGCCACTGAGGGAACCATACCAGAAAGCAGCGTGCCTCACTACTCCACCCCTGTAGAGGTGAGGGTCAGTCTCCTCAGTACGAAATACCAGTGATCTTTTCAGAGCCAAGGGCCTTCTGCAACCCGGGCGAGTCTCAGCCTGGAAAGCGGCTTCCCTCACCACTCTGCACTTCCAAGGGTAGGGTCTGTTTCTTTGACAAGAGGTGCAAAAGAGGCGGCTGCGGGTCCTAGCTGGGAAAGCAGCCTCCTTCACTACTCCGCCCTTCCCGGTATGGCGTGTATCCGTTTGGCAGGCGGCACCGGCTACCAAGTCACTGCAAAGAAGTGATCGTGGGTCTCAGCTCGAAAAACAGCCTCTTTCACTACTCCACCCAGGGGCGGAGTCAGTCCCTTTGGCGCCAAGCGCCTGGAGGGGCGAGTCGAATGGAAATGGGGGTGGTCATGTCATCCAGGGTCACGGCTCAAAAAGTGGCCTCCTTCGCTACTCCACCCTTCCAAGGTGGGGTTTGTCCTTTTGGCACGAAGCGCAGGCGACAGAGTGGGAGGGGGGTTGCCCAAGCCCACATGGCGACTCGTCCAAGAAAGCGACCTCTCTCCCTTTTTCCTCCCTCCAAAGTTGGGGCTTGAGCCACCGGCATGAAAAGACCAACGACAGGGTTCAGAGAGAAAGCGGCTTCTCCCGTTACTTCACTCCTCCAAGGGCGGGACCAGCTCTGCTGGGCAGGGGCAGGGGCAATATCTGAGACTCTTGCCTGGGCAACAGGCCCCAGTGGTTTTAGGCTATGGTCTCCCAAAGTGGTGGCTGCCCACCCACTGAGAATCAGCGCTAGAGGTAACTGTACAGCAAGTGTCGGGAGTTGGGTTTGTCGTGGCTGTCTCTAAGAGCCGCCTGCTGAGCCCACTGCTTCCCTAACACACTGACTAGCAACTGATCAGTAGGAGGGATCTATACTCTGTCCCACTCTGCGCCAGTCAAATCTTCAGTGATTTCCGAGGGCAGAGCCTCCTTTATGGTGTCCACTTCCCTTGATATGGCCCTGGCGGCCTCTCCTGCGGAACTGAGAATTGTCCAAACTGGGAAGTGTCTGCTCAGACCAGTCCCTCCCCTGCCGAAAGCAGACCCAGCACAGCGCACAGGAGAGATCAAAATGTTTCCCGTTCCTGTCTCTACTCCATACAGCCTGTCGGCCTATGCTACCACTTCACACTGACTTCAGGCGTTTCCCTGCCTGCGTGGGTGTGGAGGTCAGTGGAGGAAGAGTCATCCTCCTGTGGGTCAGATCACACTGCCCCACCAGCCAAACCTCTATTCCCTATTGTATATCTCGCACTCTCCAGACTTTATGGCTGATTCTCTGATTCACCATTTTTTTCCCCCTCAGTGCTGCTTGTCCCTCGCTGCTTCTCTGCAGATTCATGAAGCTGATCCTGTGGGAGAGCAATTCATTCCTATGTGGTTGTCCGCATTCTTCACCTCCTACTCTGGGAGCAGAGAGCAAGGAGGTCACCCCTAATCCGCCATTTGTCCCCATTCATCTCTTGATAGACATTCAGGTTGATTCCACATCTTGGCTATTGTGAATAATGCTGCAATGAATATGGAAATGCAAATACCTCTTCAAGATAGTGATTTTATTTCCTTTGAATATATACTCAGAAGTGGGATTGCTGGATCATATAGTAGTTCTATTTGTTAACTTTTTGAGGAAACTCCATAATCTATTTTTGGTTGTATCACTTTATACTCTTAGCAACAGTGTACAAAGAGTTCTCTTTTTTACACATTCTCAGCAACACTTGTTATCTTTTGCCTTTTTGATAATTGGCATCCTAACAGATGTGAGGTGTTACAGTGATTTTGATTTGTATTTCCTTGATAATTAGTGATTTTCGGCATTTCACCTTACCTGTTGGCCAATTGTATGTCGTCTTTGGAGAAAAGTCTATTCAGGTTCTTTGCCCATTTTTAATTGGATTATTTGCTTTTTTACTAGTGAGTTGTAGGAGTTCCTTATATATTTTGAATATTAACCTTTTATCAAATATATGGTTTGCAAAGATTTTCTCTCACTTTGTAGATTGCATTTTGATTTGTTGTTTTCTTTGCTATGCCAGAAACTTTTAGTAGGATCTATTCTCACTTTTTATTTTGTTGGCTGTACTTTTGATGTCAAATCCAAAAAATAATTGCCAACACCAATGTCCAAGAGCTTTTTTCCTGTGTTTTCTTCCAGGAATTTTCTGTTTCCAGGTATTATATTTACATCTTTAATCCATTCAGTTAATTTTTGTGTGTGATATAAGATATGTGTCTAATTTTATTCTCTTGCTGTGGATATCCAATTTTTCCAACACCATTTATTGAAGAGGCTACCCTTTCCCCATTGTGTATTCTTCGAGCCCTAGTTAAATACCAGTTGTCCATATATGGATGGGTTTATTTTTGGGCTCTATATTCTCTTCCATCGGTGTATGTGTATGTTTTTAGGTCAGTGTCATACTTTGTTCATTACTACAGCTTTATAATATAGTTTAAAATCAGAAAGTGTTCTTAATAGCTTTGTTTTTCTTTCTTAATATTGCTTTGGCTATTTGGCATCTTGGTGGTTCCAAATAATTTTAGGATTGTTTTCTTCTATTTCTATGAAAAATGCCATTGGAATTTTGATAGGGATTGCATTGATAGGAATCTGCAGCTCACTCTGGGTAATATGGACATTTTAACTATATTAATTCTTCTAATCCATGACCATAGGGTACCTTTTTATTTATTTATGTCAATTTATTTCATCAATATCTTAGTCTTATAGTTTTCGATGTACAGATCTTTCACATCCTTGGTTAAATCTATTCCTAAATATTTCATTGGTTTTGATTCTATTGTAAATGCAATTGTTTCCATATTTTCTTTCCAGAAGATTCATTATTAGTGTATAAAAGTGTAACCTATTTTGGTATGTTGATTTTATATGTAGAAACTTTACTGAATTCATTTATTAGTTCTGACAGTTTTTTGGTGATATCTGCAGGATTTTATGCATATAAGATAATGCCATCTGCAAAAAGAGACAGTTTTACTTCTTTGTCTCCAATTCAGATGTCTTATATTTGTTTTTCCTGCCTAATTGCTCTGGTTGGAACTTTCAGCACTGTATTGAAAAGAAGTGATGAGAGTGAGCATCCTTGTCTTGTTCCTGATCTTAGAAAAAAATGTTTCATCTTTTTACCACTGAGTATGATGTTGGCTGTTGGCTTGTAATATATGACTTTCATTATATTGAAGATGTATAAATGCATATATACATTCCATCCATACCTAATTTTTTGAGAGATTTTATCATGAAAGGAAGTTAAATTTTGTCAAATATGTTTTCTATATATATCTATTGAGATGATCATAATATTTTTACCCTTTGTTCTCTTTATGTGGTGTATCATGTTTATTGATTTTTGTATGGAGAAATATCCTTTCATCCCAGGGATAAATTTCACTTGATCATGGTGTGTGATCCTTTTAATGTGTTGTTGAATGCAGTTTGCTAAAATTTTAAGGATTTTTGCATCTATGTTCATTAGGGATATTAGCCTATAATTTTCTTTTCTTATAGTTTCCTTATCTAACTTTGGTATGATGGTAATATGGGCCTCATAAAATGAGTTTGGAATCATTCCCTCGGTTTCAATCTTTGGGAAGAGTTTTTCAGAAGGATTGGTGTGAACTCTAGTTGAAATGTTTGGTAGAATTCACCTGTGAAGACTGTGAAGACATATGCTCCTGGGATTTTTGTTGTTGTTGTTGTTGGGAGGTTTTTGATTTCTGTTTCAATCTCTTTACTCATTATCAGTATGTTCAGAATTTCTATTTCTTCATGATCTAGTCTTGGTAGATTATTATGCATCTAGGAATTTATCCATTTATTCCAGGTTATTAAATTTGTTGCCTAGGTTATCCAATTTGCTGTCATATAATTGTTCATAATAGTCTCAAATTGCTTTTGTATTTCTGTGGTATCAGTTATAATGTCTTCTCTTTCATTTATAATTTATTTGGATCCTCTTTCTTTTTTTCCTTCATTAGTATACATAAATACTTGTCAATTTTATTTTTTCAAAAGCCAACTTGTAGTTTTGTTGATCTTTTCTATTGTCTTACTAGTCTCTATTTCATTTATTTCTGCCCTAATCTTTGTTATTTTCTTCCTTTTGCTAACTTTGGGATGAGTTTGTTCTTCCTCTAGGTCCTGGACCTATAAAGTTAGGTTGTTTATTTGAGATCTTTCTTTTTTAATATATGCATTTATTGCTATAATCTTACCTCTTAGAACTGCTTTTGGTGTATCCTATAAATTTTGGTATGTTTTATTTCCATTTTAGTTTGTCTCAGTATATTTTTATTTCCTCTTTGATTCATTGGTTTTCCAGAAGTATGTTGTTTAATTTCCACATATTTATGAATTTTTCAATTTTCCTCCTATTATTGATCTCTAGTTTCATTTCGTTACTGTCAAAATAGATACTCAACATGATGTCAGTTTTTTAAATTCATTGACTTGTTTTCTGACCTAACATATATTAAAGCATATTCTGTATGTTCTTGAGAAGAATGTGTATTCTGCTGCTGTCGGATGAAATATTCTAAATATATATGTTTGGTTCATTTGGTCTATAAGGTTATTCAAGTCTGCTGTTTCCTTATTGATTTTCTATCTGGATGATCTTCCATTGTTGAAACTGGATTATTGAAGTCTCATACTCTTATTGTTTTGCTATATTTCTTCCTTCGGTTTTTTAAATATTTGATTTATATATTTAGGTGTTTGAATGTTAGAAGCATGTATATATTTACAATTGTTATATCGTCTTGATGAATTGACCCCATTATCATTGTATAGTGAACTTCTTTGTTTCTCATGACAGATTTTTGTCTAAAAGTATACTTTGACTGATATGAGTATAGCCACTTCTTCTCTCTTTTGGTTACCCTTTGC